CATTAAACCTACGCTAGGATTGAATCACCCCAAAAATTTTTTTTTTTTAATATTTTCCGTTTATTTCCCAAATGACCGACCTCATCAGCTGTCAACACAGTGTCCACTACACTCAGCGCATACTTCCTTCCAGGCAAATTGCATTATTTATTACAAACAACAAAAATACGCACACATACATGCAGACGTACAAACATACATGGCTACGCCAATCCTGAACTGAATCACTCCCAACGGTCTATTTAATTCTAATTGTTTCGATTGTTTGTAAGGGAAATCAAAATATTTTCGCTTGAAGCGTAGAATGAGCAAAAACTGTATGTTTTTTTGTAAATCATCCTGAAATAATGCAAATAAGAAAAAAATTAAGCAAGTAAAGGAGAATATAAAAAATACACCTCATTTCATCGACAAACATGAAATGATTGCCGATGGTGTACATACATACATACATTTGCACGTATCTACTTATAAACAGGACAAAGTTTCTGCTAAGTTGAATAGAGATTCGCACAGTGGTGCTATAGGGTTGTTCTCTGAGTCTTGCACGGTGCACGGATTGCAAGGTTTGCAAAGCTGTGCCATACAAAAACCGGTTTTTACCGTGCAAGGCTTTGCAAAGGACTCGGAGAATACCCCTGAATCTTAAGTAGTTTTACAAGAAAATTTCTAAAACTTTTATAATTGTTTGAATCAAGGTATTTGAACAGGTAGTATCAGTAGAGCAGCTGATTTGATTTATTTTCAAATTATTTGGTCTCGAAAATGTCAAATATTTTTAATTTTTTCTCACAAAAATTCTGAATTGTTAAAATCCATTTGCATGTGAAACCTTTTTCCATACAAAACAAGCGATTGAATAGCAGCTTTTGGAACGTTCGCCCAACTCAGCAGCACAACCGCTGATTACTGGCCCTTGTAAAGGATGGATCAATGCTTCGAGAAGCAAACAAATTTACTATGAAAGAAAGTTGCATCAATTTTTATTTTTTCCAATTTCAATTTTTTATTTTTTATAATTTTTTGTATTTCACATGGCACGCTTTGATTTAGAAGAAAAAATTCAGAACAGTTTTTGACACTTTCGATACCAGAAGCAACAACAAAATACACGCAAATGTTGTTTTTGCTCTACTGATACTACCTGTTTAATGTGCCTTGGTTTGAATCTAGGGGTCTCCTTCTTACATTTTCCGGTGAAACCTACATACATTATGCAATCAAAATTTGTATGAAATAGTTCTGCTGGAAAAATCAAAAAACTTTCTCAGCAAAAGTTTAAAGATTTTTACAGGGCAATTCTTGCAATTGTCTTTCAACTCACCGCAGTCTTTCGAAGGACTAAGGTCTTTTGTAAGGCGATTGTCAATTCTGGCAACTATATTGAAAGCTCTTTACTGTCTTTCGAAGCCTGATATTTTTTTAAAATTAAATGAAATGAAAAAAATACATATGTATGTGTATATATGTCTATTTCTAAAACAATAAAAACTAAAGAATAAAAGAAAATTAAATAAAAAAATAGAAAATATGAAAATAAAGAATAAAGCAAAAAAAACAAATAAAATGTTTTTAAAAACTTAAAAATTAAATAAGAAAAAACCATTATTCAAAAAAGACAGCACTTAAAAATTAAATATAATAAACAAAATCTAAAAAATATTTTTATCAACAGTGTTATTAGCTTTGTTCCACGATTTGTTTGTTAGGAAAAATGGAAAAAACAACAAAATCTAATAAAAACATATTTTTCATTTTAAAACAATTGAATTTAAAAATTTAAATAAAATTAAATTAACAGAAGAAAAAGAAATAAATTAAAAAAGAAAAAATAGTAAAATAGGTTTCTGAAACTTAAATGAAATAAAAAAAATTTCTGTTTTAAACAATAAAAACTACAAGTTTAAAGAAGAAAATAATAAATATTTATATTAAATAATAATAAATATTTCATTAAAGAATACATTAACATATAAACATTCAAAAAGTATTAAATTAAAGAATGAAGAAAAAAATTTAATTGAAAAATATATACATATATGTATGTATATATACATATGTGTATATATGTATGTATGTACATATGTACTTTTTCTTTTTAAAACAATTAATTCCAAAAATTTAATGAAATTTAGATAAAAAAATTCCGCTGCCCGATGACTCGACTCTGATCTCTCGAATGGCACGCCAGTGTTTTGCCCACTCGGCCATTGCGACTGAGCAAAATGATATACCAGTTGGCAAGGGAGCTTTTTTTTTGTAAGACTTTTGTTCCAGAATAAACAAACTCTTTCAAATCATCTTACCTACTATTTTTTAATTGTTTTAAAAAAGACTTTCAATTATCTTAGTTGCCATGTAAAGTCATGTTTTGCACGTTTTTAGGTGCTGTGGGTAAACCAATTGATATGCCATGAGTTTTGTCATTTCCGTAGGAATAGGGGGGTTAAGCCTTTTATAGGCTTGGAACGCGGCAACTGTTTTAGATCAGACAGCTCATGGGCTAGGGCTTTGCTAAAGGTCGACATCTATTTGCATCCAACCCCTAAAAACGGTCTATGAGTCCCTGCGATGGCACGGCTTGCTTTCCATAAGACAGTTGTTACCTACTTTTAGGAGACGAGCTTATCAATAGTGGATTTTTTCACTTAAAACCTGGATTCAAAGCCCACTTTTCTACGTTGCAAATGAAAAAGTAAATCTATGAAAGACAACTTCTAATTTGTTTCCGAAAATATTTTATATTGCAAACATTGCCAATTATTACTAATATTCATACACTGTGCTGTCAATAGCGACTCACTCAAAATTCATGCCAGCGCTCTTCCTTAATGGCGTCCATGCGCTTCAATTTCATTCACAACAACAGATAATCCTAGTAATTTTTTTTTAACTGCCATCAATCTGGTTCGCTTAACTATTTGATTTTTATTTATTTATTTTCTTTTTTCTGGCGTACTTCTGCTTCACATTCACATTGCAATTTTTATTGCTACTTATTTGCCTAACGATGTGGCAAGATGCGAGTAGGGCCAAGTCGATTCGAGACACTTATACAGTGCGGCCATTATGTGTGGTAAAGACAGAAACGCATTTGATGAGTATTCTTGGCTATCTATCTCCTTCGCATCTTTTTCACTTTCAAGTGGTTTATTACTTACGTATTTATTTTTTATTTATTTATTTATTCTTAGCTTCATTGAAATCATGGTAGTGCATCTGATTGCGTATTGAGCGCATTCTTGGCGCAAATAAATATGACATTGTTAATGATGTAGCACTGCTGGAGTATGTTGTTGTTGTTATTATTATTTTCTATGTGCTATAATCGCTTTCTCATACAGGGTCTTCCATTATAAAAAAAAAGTGCAAATGTGTCCATTAACAAGGTTATTTTTGTGCCCTTTCGAGAGACCTTGGTCTTTAATTACTTTGTTGCGTTTTTCCAAGAGCTTGTTGACGGTCTGGCTTTTTATACGGGTGACTTATGTAGTCGAAATTCTTCTCATTGGGCTAAAATTATTCTGAAGAACAGGCATAGCATCGCTTTTTGAAAGCCTTTTTTATGCTCTAGATCCAGGAAAAATGAATAAATAATTTTTTTCCATATGAGGATCGACCCGGTCTAGTGTACCAGTGAGATTAAGTTTAACCTAAGGCCTCTGAACAAAGAAAAGGATCGACCCGGTGTAATGAGCCAGTGAGCTTAAGTTCAGTCTAAGATCTCTCGATAAAGAGTGTGATTAGCATGCAAAAAATAGCTCAACTTGAGCCTCGAGTTTTAAGTTCTTTCAAATATCGCGTTAGCGTCGCAAAATTTAGCGTACTACATTCTTTAGGTAGGAGGATTTGAGTGTTTTTTTCTTGCACCGAGGTAAAGAGGTTGTCATCGCCGATTAGGCTGAGGACAGAAAAGTAAATGGTGGTCTGCTACCGATCTTCGAAAGCTCGAAAGACCACTTTTTTTTATACGAAAGTCAACATCACTTTCTAGGAACCCTATGAGGAATCGGTGTCGTGAGAATTCTCCATGGAATTGATGCCTTAAGTTAGGTTACCGGCCGGAACTGGTAGGAAAAGGGTTGAGACAATGTATGAAATAAGGAAGCGTCTTGAATGTCAGGTCCGTAAATATCAACGGCTATCGCAGGAGTCGGGCAGCCCACATAAAGATTTTTATTTAATGATTAACTTGTAGAAAATTAGGTGGTATTTTAAAGAATTGAATTAAAAAAGGCAGTCCAGGGATTTACAGGCCAAAGATCCGTCCTCCGAGTTCAATGGAGCTTTTAATGAAACTAATATGTCTAAATGAAAAAAATGAGAGCCGACTTTACTTGTAAACTTAGAATAAAACAGACATGCCAAACCCACAAGAGTTCTGAAAAATTAGGAAAACCTTACCTCTCCCCAAATTTAGTTGGCATTCAATTATAAAAGTGATAGGCAATCGCCATGGGTCGCTGCTAGATTAATCAAAGGGTCAGCGAAGGCGTGTACAGTAGATAAAGTCTCATCGCAGTGTCTAGGTGACTTGTTCCCGCTTCCAAGGCTAATCTAAAACCGCAGATATTCACCCAGTTTACATTGGCACCCGTGACAGCGTTGTTCAACTACAAACGACAAAAGGGCGCCCGCAAGAAGGCGTGTTATCTCCTCTCCTGTGGAGCTTAGTAGTGGACGAATACCTACAGATACTCACTGATTAGAGCGACTGCTGCCGAGGGTACGCGGACAACATAATGACTATCGCCAGATGGAAGTTTGCAAGTACCCTCGGCGACATCGTCCAAAGAGGACTCAGCCTGAGAAAAAGGTGGTGTGCGGATGTGGGTTTGAACCCTTCAAAGGCAGATATTGTCCCTTTTACCAAGAAAGGGACCCTAAAGGGGATGAGAAACTTGACACAGGAGGGGGTCGCGGTCTGCGTCGGCACAGAAATGAAGTAGGGACTTATCCTCCTCCTTTAAGGTCGAAACACATAGCAAGGCGACCTGGAGTACGTCTATCATGGAGAGGCATGTTCAGGTAAGCACACTAAAGTGGTATACCGATTACTCTCGATTTCCAGAGGAGATCGTGGCCGGCGTTTACGGTACCAGTCTGAAGCTCTCTGTGCCCCTGGGAATCTTTTATGCTATCAGTCTGTGTGCTGAGATTAACCTTCGAAAGAAGTACCGAAGCGACAGGGTTCTAGTTAACATTAAGCGACAGCCAGGCGGC